AAGCAAATGTGACTACTTTCATACTGTGTGACTCCTTTAAATAATTACAGTTAACAGTGTGCATAATGACCTCAGTATCTCCAGTTTACAGTGTGGAATACCCAGTAATACTGACCTCAGTATCTCCAGTTTACAGTGTGAATCCCTCAGTCCAGTAGAGAGCAGGTTCACACCTGAATCCTGCAGGTCATTGTCACTCAGGTCCAGCTCTCTAAGTTGTGAGGATTTTGATCTGAGAGCTGAAGCCAGCACCTCACAGCATTTATCTGTGAGATCACACTGGTCCACCCTTAAAAAAATTAAAGACTTTTAAATCCACTTTTTTATACTGCAGCACTGTATTCAAATGAGGAGAATAGGGGCCATGACATAATGGATTTTCAGAAAACAATTAAATTACTAAAAATCATTTTAACAATCCTCACGATTCTGCTTTGTGTCCATTGTATTTTTGTCCATAACATGTTAAAGTCAGCATGTTTAACTGTAACAGTACCGGTAACTTTGATAACCAACACAAATGTTTTGCATGGATTATATGGTTGAATGGATGTTTCCTGCTTTACTGCTTAATTATTTCTAGCATGGATCGAGGGCTGATAAGATTGTGGGATATAAGGAAGTAGGAGAAGAAAACAGAAGCTGTTTGTGTTTATTATGCAACTGCTGAAATGCATTGTGGGTTTTCTTGGTGTCCAGTTTCTTTTTTTGTAAAAATGCATATTCTGTACTCACTGCAGCTTCTCCAGTTTACAGCTGGGATCCTCCAGTGCAGCAGAGAGCAGCTTCACTCCTGAGTCTCCTGGGTGATTGTAGCTCAGATCCAGCTCTCTCAGGTGTGAGGGATTTGACCTCAGAGCTGAAGCCAGGGAAGAACAGCCTCTCTGTGTGACTCTACAGCCTGCCAGCCTGCAGAGAGAGAGAGAGAGAGACAGAAACTCCCCAATAAATAATATCACCTCACCATTACAATTATTAAATAAATGTCAGTTTACAGTGTGGAATACCCAGTAATATTGGCCTCAGTATCTCCTCAGTATCTAAGTATCCCCAGTTTATATTGTGGAATACCCAGTAATATTCACCTTAGTATCCCCAGTTTACAGTGTGGAATATCCAGTAATACTGACCTCAGTATCTCCAGTTTACAGTGTAAATCCCCCAGTGCAGCAGAGAGCAGCTTCACTCCTGAATCCTGCAGGTCATTGTCACTCAGGTCCAGCTCTCTCAGGGGTGAGGAATTTGATCTTAGAACAGAAGTCAACACTTCACAGTGTTTATCTATAAGATCACAGCTGTTCAGCCTGGAATAGAAAACACTTTAAGACACAGACATATACACATCCTACACTTTAGCTAAATACAAAACATTACAATAAGCATCTGTTTTCAATATAATTAGCAGCACAGCTTACATTTCAAAATGACTTATGTCGAAATAACAACTTATTGTCTCCAAAAAAAAATTCACCAAATGCGGTTCAGGGCTTCCGTATGATAATACATTAAGCATGTATTATTATTATTATTATTATTATTATTATAAACAAAGCGACTTATCATGGAATTCTATGCCAGCTGTTTCACTATTGGAGTGTCACAGTTGCCTGACAACCAATTGACCAATCACAGCCCGACTTCCAACCAGCCAATCACAACATGAACCGCTGTTCCTCTGGGCAAAATCGTCCCGCACTGATCCACGAAAGTACGCAATTTGTCCCGTATTTTCACAAACATTTCCTACCCCTGAGCTCGGCAAAATATATTATAGGTCACCCCTCCTTGGCAAGTTTCATAGTCAGGGAACCGATGTTACACCCCAACACGGCTGCGCATTCTGTTCACATCTTAAAAAAAAAAAAAAAAAAAAAACCAAGCAATGACATCACTCTGCTGGCCAGGAGATCTGAACCAGTAACCTTCCACTCACGGACACAGAGTCCAAACCCAAAGAGTCACGCACCACACCCAGAATTTACAGAAATGCTTCCTTTCAGCATCCAGAACTGAAACGAATGTGAGTGGTTTTCCCACTATTAATGAAAACTGGACCATTCTGTACGATGCTGTATCTTTGGTTATTTGTTACACAAAGGATGGTCATGGAAATCTTGTCTTTTTTGTTTTTACTACATCACTACCTTCAGTTAATATAAACTACATTAAAAAGAAACCTTCTTGATAAAAGAGGGGAAATAAATTACATATATACATATTAAATTTATATTTTAAACAATGTTTATCTATTTCTGCCAGACTAAATGTGTCGTCACATCCTCAACAAGGTGCAGCTGAGGCCAGCAGAGGGCGCCAGTGAGCAGCCAGAGACAGCAGTCATACAGAAGCTCCCAGCTCTGGGCTCCATCACATGAACACGCCTGCTGACAATAACACTCACATACCACTTATACACCCTGTGGATAACGAGCCCTCACTGTTTCTGTAGCAGGTTAGGATGCTGTGCCTGTGATCAGAAGGCAGACTGGATGGGAACGGAAACGTAGTAACAAACAAAAAATGACATCACTACCTTCAGTCATTATAAAATCTGTGGTCTAGATTATGAAAAAAAAACAAGTAATCCACGAGGAGAAATAAATTATACATATTTAATACAATATTCATGTGTTACTGCCAGACCAGACATGATTTCCCATCCCCACGTCACTTACAGAGCCGTCCTGGAGTTCTTGACCACAGGCAGCAGCCTGCAGTGCTCTTTATCTGATCTGATGTATTTCTTCAGATCAAACACATCCTGCTCCTCATCTGACATCAGCATCACAAAGGCCAGAGCTGAGTACTGTGCAGGTGAGAGGCCTTTTGCTGAAAGGTTTCCTGAATTCAGGTATATTTGTACTTCCTCTACTAGAGAATTGTCACCCAGTTCAGTCAGACAGTGTAATAGGTTTATGGTCCTTTCTGGAGATAAATTATTCTTTATTTTCTTCTTGATGTATTTGGTTATTTCCTTAATGGTACGTGAGCTGATTCTTGTCTGCCCCAGTAGCCTTTGTAACAGAGTCTTACTGGAGTCTGTTGAGAGGCCCAGGAGGAAGCGGAGGTAGAGGTCCAAGTGTCCATTCTTGCTCTCTAATGCCTGATCCACTGCAGTCTTCAGCAGTTTAGCTGATGAATTTGACAGAAAAACATATAAAGCTGCGAGATACTCCTGGATGCTCAGATGCACAAAGCAGTACACCTTCTCCTGATACAACCCATACTCCTCTTTAAAGACTTCTGTGCACACTCCAGAGTAAACTGAAGTTTCAGCGACATCAATGCCATTATCTGTCAGATCTTGCTCATAAAATATGAGATTGCCTTTCTCAAGGCTGTCAAAAGCCAGTTTACCAAGTTTCAAAAGGAATTCCTTGCTGTGTTTATTAAGCTTGGTTTCATAGTTTTTCATATACTTGTCTTTTTTTAATCTCATCTGAAAGATCAGGAAGTGTGTGTACATTTCAGTCAGAGTCCTTGGAAATTCTCCCCTGTCAGTCTCACTAAAAAGACTCTCAAGGACAGTGGCTGAAATCCAGCAGAACACAGGTATGTGGCACATGATGAAGAGGCTCCTTGATGATTTCACATGTGTGATAATCCTGCTAGCCAGGCTCTGATCACTAAATCTTTTCCTGAAATACTCCTCCTTCTGGGCATCACTGAACCCTTGTATCTCTGTCACCTGGTCGACACACTTAGCAGGTATCTGATTGGCTGCTGCTGGCCGGGAGGTTATCCAGAGGAGAGCGGATGGAAGCAGATTCCCCTTAATGAGGTTAGTCAACAGCACATCCAGTGATGTTTTTTTTGTTACATCAAACCAGCTCTCATTGTTCTGAAAATCGAGAGGAAGGCGACACTCATCGAGACCATCAAAAATGAACATGACTTTGTACCTAAACAGCTCAGTGAATTGAAATGATTTCAGTTCTGGGACAAAGTGGTGAAGCAGTTCAATCAGACTGTATTCATCCTTAATCAAATTCAGGTCCCGGAAAGGAAGAGCAAATATGAAGTGAACATTCTGGTTTCCTTTTCCATCCACCCAGTCTAGAATAAATTTCTGCACAGAGACTGTTTTCCCGATACCTGCCACCCCTTTAGTGAGTACAGTTCTGATAGGTGTCTCACGCCCACATAAGGGTTTAAATATATCATTGCACTTGACTGTAGTATCTTCTGTTCGCCTTTTCTTGGATGCTGTTTCAATCTGTNTTCGCCTTTTCTTGGATGCTGTTTCAATCTGTCTCACTTCATGTTCATCATTGACTCCTCCAGTCCCACCTTCAGTTATGTAGAGTTCTGTGTAAATCTCATTGAGAAGTGTTGGCTGTCCTTCCTTAGCTTTCCCTTCAAATACCTGTACACACTCAAATTGCTTCTGAAGTTTACATTTGATTTCCTGTTGCAGCATGAGCTGTCCTGAAAAGAAATGAGAGAAAAATGCACTAATTCTCACTGCGATCCTGACCAGTATGAGAGGAAGAATATTTTCCAAAAACACGCTTTTTTACACATACATATCAAGATATTTCCCTGTGACTGTAAATGTGAAACTGAAAGTTTTATCATACATATTTCACTGGAACACCACATACAGGACCGTGCATAAGCCTTAGGCAGTCAAAGGAAATGTTTAAAGCCATTTATCTGGGTAGTAAGTGTATATTTGCTCATAAAAAAAAACCCTTTTCATTTCCTAAACCTCTCCTCAGGGGCAACACAGCCAGTCCATGTATTTGTTAAATTTCACCACCAGCTCACTTCATTAATTCATTAAATTAGTTTAAAAACTCAATGGGATATTGATCAGCCACATGATGTGTGTTAGTGGTCAAGTAAAAAAATCTGTGAATATGCTGCACGATTTCTGCAAATATTAGGGTGATTTTGGGAGAGGTTCTGAAATGTCAAAACACACTTTGACATACATATTATAGTAGTTCTACACCAACATGAAGACCATTTAAACATCCTTTTCTCTGGCTGCCTGAGACTTTTGCACAATACCGTACATGTACATAATGTTATAAAGCTCTTACTCTTCTCCAGTAAGTCAGCAAGATCAATTTGCTTCATGGTCCTCAGGATGTACAGTGTGATCTTCAGAGCTACATCTCTAACACTGGTCTTCTGCATCTGACCATCACAGTCCAAGTCATTGTCCTCCTCCAGCTGAGGCTCAGGGCATTCTGGGTAATTCTGATGTAGGTACCTCACAAACGTCTTCAGCTCGTTCTTTAAAAACTTCATGGCTTTTTCCTCTAGTGACTAAAATAGTCTCAGTTAGTTATTGCTATGTGCACCAAACCCTTTCAGAGTTTCACTTGTGAATCATAGTTTAAAACACTAAATACAATAAATACAAACCTTCAATATGCATGATAAAGCCGATTTATCATGTAGATCTGAACTGCATTCATCCATTTGGTCTCTGTGAATAAGGCAGAAACATAAAGACCTCAATTCATCTACACAAATGTAACAGAAAGGCTGAAAAGCCCCCCATTAAAATTGCTGTTACTGCAGATAAAGAATAACATTATGGTATATTACAACACCAATTCCAAAAAGTTGGGACATTGTGCAAATTGTAAATAAAAACAGAATGCAATGATACGGAAATCTCATAAAGCCGTATTTTATTCATAACATAGCATAGAAAACATGTCAAATGTTTAAACTGAGACATTTTGCTATTTCATGAAAAATATTGGCTCATTTTGAACTTCATGACAGCAACACGTCTCAAAAAAGTTGGGACGAGGGCAATAGGAGGCTGGAAAAGTTAGTGGTACAAAAACCCAACAGCTGGAGGAACAATTTGCAAATAATTAGGTCAATTGGCAACAGGTCAGTAACATGACTGGGTATAAAAAGAGCATCTTAGAGCTGCAGTGTCTCTCTGAAGTAAAGATGGACAGAGGATCACCAATCCCCCTAATACTGCATCGACAAATAGTGGAGCAATTTGAGAAAGAAGTTCCTCAGTAAAAAATGCAAAGAGGTTGAATATTTCATCATCTACAGTACATAATGTAATCAAAAGATTTTGAGAATCTGGAGAAATTGCTGTGAAAAACCACACTAGATGCCTGTGATATTTTGGCCCTCTGGCAGCACTGCCTCACAAACAGGCATGATTCTGTAATGGAAATCACTAAATAGGCTCAGGAATATTTCCAAAAAACATTGTCAGTGAACACAATTCGCCCTGCCATGCACAGATGCCAGTTAAAACTCTATCATTCAAAGAAGAAGCCGTATATGAACATGATCCAGAAGCGTCAACGTCTTCTCTGGGCCAAAGCTCATTTAAAATGGACTGTGGCCGGACTGAAGAGGAGAAGGACCACCCAGCATGTTATCAGCACTCAGTTCAAAAGCCAGCATCTCTGGGGGTGCATTAGTACATATGGCAGGGGCAGCTTGCATATCTGGTAAGGCACCATCAATGCTGAAAGGTATATCCAGGTTCTAGAGCAACAGATGCTCCCATCCATACGACGTCTCTTTCAGTGAAGACCTTGCATTTTCCAACATGACAATGCCAAACCACACACTGCATCAATTACAACATGATGGATTCGTAGAAGAAGGGTCCGGGTACTGAACTGGCCTGCCAGTGGTCCAGATCTTTCAGGCATTAAGAACATTTGGTGCATCATAAAATGAAAAATATGACGCAGAAGATCTAGGACAGTTGAGCAAATAGAATCCTGTATCAGACAAGAATGGGACAACATTCCTCTCCTAAAACTCAAACAACTGATCTCCTCAGTCCCCAGACATTTACAGAGTGTTGTTAAAAGAAGAGGAGATGCCACCCAGTGGTAAACATGGCCTTGTCCCAACTTTTGTTGCTGCTGCGACATTCAAAATGACCTTATTTTTTCCTTAAAATGATGCATTTTCTCAGTTTAAACATTTGATATGTTTTCTATGTTGTGTTATGAATAAAATATGGGTTTATGAGATTTCCATATCATTGCATTCTGTTTTTATTTACAATTTGCAGAACGTCCCAACATTTTTGGAATTGGGGATGTAGTTTGGAAAGATGTATCTGCCATGTTAAGCTTTATTCACTAGGGTGGCTTCGTAATTCTCTCATGACGGCAGAAGAGAACCAGTGACATCAGGATCCACCACACAGACACAGCGGGCAGGAAGGACAGTTTTCCATGCAGCCCTTTGTACCCAGTGACATTTACAGTGATTAACTTGATTAGCAGAGCTGAATCCCCCCCGCTACCCCTCGATAAGCCTCTGCTTTGCTTATCAATGGAGCTGCCTGCTCTGTGAGCAACTGGCCCACAGTCACACCGGCCTGGGACTCGAGGATGAGCAGGGAGCGTCAGACGGGGCAGCGCCTTTCAGCTTATTGCCCGCATCCCTGCCCCCCCGCTTCTGTACCAGCTGGTCCCCAGGCCCCCACTAGCTGGGGCGATATTGCTGCCTAAATATGACGAAACATTAAACGTGTCATCATCGTGCACCTGTTCTCCATCACAGTGGACATAATGTGCATGATGTCATCAGCGTGCGCCACTCCCTCTGGAAAGTCCTACTGCAGGGATACCCGACCTTTTTTAATTCAAGATCTACTTACAATCCAGCAAATCCAGACAAATCCAGGAAATTCTCCAAATTGAAAAAGTGTAAATAAATGTACTTCTCTACTTCAGTGGGACCGCTGGCACTGGGCAGTCAGCCAGTCATGCCAGTCAGCGTATGGAGGACAGGGGCCAGTGAGCCTGATCTTAATCTTGCCCCACTGTCCATGCTGAGGACCCAGGGGTCCTTGATGCTCAGCTCACAGCTTAATCTCTGAAGTGACCCTGTTTTAAGCTGGCACTGTACACACCAAGGAGTACGGTGTGTACCAAGTGCCCCAGGCGGCCGGCGTGTACCAAGTGCCCCAGGTGGCCAGCTTGCACTCTATATGCCGAGGGGCCTGAGAGTTAATGCTCGCTGTATGTGGAAAGGGCCCCAGGGGCCCAGGTGGTCAGCATGACCTCTATATGCTGGGGCCCTCATGGTTAATTTGCCCCACCAGTCCAGTCCATAACCCAGCCAAGGCTCCAGGGGGCGCTATCTTGGAGCACCTTCAGCCACCGGCTCATTCCCCCATCATGAGCTAAGAAGCGTTACTGGGGATCTTTCCTGCCAGCTGCCGTTAGACACCACAATGCCTGCTGTGGATGTGCAGCCCCCACAGCCAGCCTTAACGTCCGAATTGTAATGTGGTAAAAGCTGCTCTCTGTTTTTAATCATGAAAATAACATCCATTAGCATTCATTTTTATTTATATTTATTTCTTGAAAAATATTCTATTTTCTAATTACAGTGGTACCTCAGAACTCAAACTTAATCCGTGCAGAACTCCAGATCGAATCCTAAAAAGTTCGAGTTCTGATCAAATTTTTCCCATAAGAAATAATGGAAAAACAATTAATTGGTTCCCGGCCTCAAAAAATAACACCTATATATGTTGTTTTTTAGCAATTAAACACAAAATGAACTGGATAAAACAAGAAGAGCATATACTGTACTAAACACATCTAAGCACATTTATCAAAACAGTCATTTGTAAAGTAAGACAATAAATGTATCCAAACAATGTGTAATGTTAAAAAAAAAACAATGTGTCCTGCCCTGATTATCCGCTCCTTCCGTGTGCCACGGCCCCTCGTTAACCCCGTGTGGAATTCCCGTGTGATCAGCTGTTTCTGGTTGTTGTCATTAGTCCGCGTTTCAGTTTGTTTCCCCAGTCCGGTCATTGTATTGTCCGTCTGCGTTTTGCCTGCCTTACCTGTAATTAAACCCTGTATTCCCCGATACCCTGAAGTCTGCATCTTTGTCTCTGTTCCGTCCCGCTCGGCATGACAATATTATTATAATTAAATGTATTAATGGTTTATTATTAATATTAAAATAATTAATAAGAAATCTTTTAAAAATGTATTTTATTATATAATTACTGTTACTGTCTATCATTATCTAAATGTATTTTTACTGTCTACATATATATATTCAGCCAGTTTAAACATGCACGATGTTATCACAGCGAATGCAAGGCTGAGACTGAAGCGTTACCCTTTTTTTCAGCTGAGAGACGTCAGCGTGACTCATTTCCCCGCGCGTACAAGTTATCTTAGGTCTGCGTTCACAGTTTGACTTCTGAGATTCAGATCGAGTTCTAGGTAATTTTTTTCGACCTGGTTGGTTTGACTTTTAAGAAATTCGAGTTCTAATGAGTTCGAGAACTGAAGTCCCACTGTAAGTGTTTTTTCCACATAGGTTGTATGTGTCTCTGTGCTATTTGACTGAGAGTCTGAGTGATTTATACAGTGTTTGTTTAAATGCACATTTACCTTTGATCAGTAGGAAAAGGTCCATCTCTGAAGTCGATTGGCCGATCCATTGACCTGTCACTCTTCAGGGAAACACAGCTGGGTACAGG